GAAGAGGGGGGCACCCTGGAGAGCCTGGGGATCCCTGGGGACACACTCGGTCCCTGAGCCACCGGTTTGTTCCTCCTGATGAATTTTTTTGCGCAGGGGTCAGCGGGGAACAGATTGCAAACAGGCGATGTGGTGCGGAACGGTGATGGGAAGAGGCTTTGTCCAGGATGGAGAAGGGGGACACTGCAGGGGCCATCTCCAGCCAGCTTTGTACCCACCACCCACCACCCACCACGTGACCACCCTGTCCCTAAACCCACCTCCCGAAGAGCCAGGCTGTCCCAGTCCCCTTGAGATCACCCTCAAACAGCTTGGCAGGTCCTGAGCATCACCGAGATGCTCCAAGCACTTGCGGTCCCCAAACGCTGCGTGAGCAGGACCCTGGGGAGGATGCAGGTGCCCAGCATCACTCGACCGAGCATCCCTCATCATCCAACCCAAGCACTCGGCATCGATCCGGTGATCAATCCGTGACCACGGCCATGTCGGAGAAGGGCCTCGGTACATTCAGCAGCACCGCGGGGCTCTCACAAGGGCTCTCTGCAGCCGCAGCGGGAAGCGAAGCATCTCGCTCCCGCCCTCGGAGGAAGGCTCTGGCTTTAATTGCTCTTTGGCCCCCAGCCACTGATTGCTCACCTTTGTCACTGCGTTCTTTTCAGTTTCGTGGCAGCTTTTTGGTTTCCCCTCTGGTTTTAACCATCCTGGCATCTCCTTGCACCACCAGTCTCAAAATAAAAGCCCTTCTGGCCCTGGGGTGGATTGTCAACAGGTAGAGCCCCAAAATCTCCATCCTGGAGGTGTCAGCTGAGGCCCCCTCAACTCACTGCAGCAGTGGTTTGGAGCAGCGGAGCTGTGCCAGGTATCCCCGGGGGCTCACACTGCGCCTTGGGGGGGGTGCAGAGCATTTAAACCTCTTTCAGAACTGGTCAGAAGGTGACACCAGGAGCACCCCAGCCCCACAAGGGTGTGAAATATTAACCCCAGACCCATGAATCAGCTTGGTGCCATCTGCTCGGCTCTGCAGCCAGGCTGCCTAAACAGCTCGGGGAGGGCTAGCCCCTTCACCTCAATGCAGTGTTCACTCTGAAACCTAAGGATGGCACTGCTGTGGCCATAATGCTGATTATTTCAGCTTTGATAGTCGGAACAGGCAGAGCCAATGCACTTGTCAGCTCTGCAGTGCCTTTCCTTCAACAAACAAAGATCGCGTGGATGTTGAAACCAGTCTGCCATGGGCTTTCCAGTGGGCTCTTCTCCAAGCAATGTAAGAAAGCAAGGAGCTTGGCCACAACATCCAGGCAACGCCGCTGCTGAAATCACCATCTCCGCTGCCAGGGACACTGGGGGGTCAGGACAGGGCATTGTAGGCACGGAGGGAGCCGGCGGTGAGGAAACATGGAGGCAGGAGGGGTACGGGAGCTGACTCAGCTCATGGATGTCTTTATTCGAACTCTAGTAGGGTTGGACAGGTAGAGGCATGCGTACAGGAGAGAGGGAATGGGAGTAGTATTGCCTTGATCACAGAGATATGGAACAGCGTTAGAGAGACACTGACCCTTCCAGGCCAGCCGGCTTCACCCACCTCATTCCCCTATTGCTTCCCGTCCCCGTCCCTTCGCCCGAACCGACCCGCTCGTCCCCCCCAGCCTCTCGGGGTCTGCACCCCGGGGTAAGAACCCATGGAGGGTGGGGGCGATGGTGCAGCGACGCGCTCGTGGCACCTCGAATGGAGCCTTCG